TGCAAAAGATTTTGATCATTCAAAATTTCCTTGTGTGAAGAAACAAGAGCAACATCCATCATGATCCTTACAACAGAAGCAAGATCGCGACGCCATTTTCTAATGCTTTGTGATGTAAACACTCAATTCAAATTGGAAGACATAGACGGGGAGGGTCTTTTTGATGATGATCTGACCCTCGGATGAAAAACAAATTCCAGTATCACCACCACCTTATGAACAATCATTAGGTGATCAATCATTCGGTGGAATTTTAGATTCATTTGAAGAACCACCAGAGTATGACTATCATGAAGGTGTTGATTATGGCTTAGAAGAATCAGACGCCACAAATATGATTTTAGATGATGTTAATGTAATTAATTATGATGATCTCGAAAAAAGCTTATCAGAAATACCTGATGAAAAGGGTAAAAAAACGAAATTAACACGAATTATTAAATACGCCGAACCTCGAAGGAATCAATTAAAAGGGGATAAAACCGATGTTACCAAAAAATTTAATAGTGGTGAAATAAATGATGCAGAAAAGCAATTAGAAAATGCAAGAATTGATAGGAGGCGCTATGTGCTGAACAAATATATCTCGGATAATAAGAAAAAGTTAAAGAGTATTCAAGGTTTAGGACTGAAAAGAGGTCGTGGTGTTTATTTTTTTAATGATCCCAAACAGCTTATGAAAAAACTTGAACTTATTATTGGTGAAATGATAGCTGGCAATACAAGTATTAAAATGAGAAACACAGGTCAAGCTATTTTTGATACTCTTTTGAGGACATCAACCATAAACAAGAACCAATACACAAAAATCTTCAATAGTATTTCAAAATATAGTGTAATTAATAATATATAATGGAAAGAGAAATTGTTTTGACAAGCTGTAACAACAAATCTGGAAAAAACAAACCATCAGATTTTACAACTTATTTTGTTCAGCCTATAACTCTTGCCAAGAATCGTGAGTACGTTGTTGGCCTTAACAGAATTATAAATATGTCTTTTACTTGGTTCAATGTTAACAGTATGAAGCGGAAGCCTGGGGAAAGAAATAACTGGACGTGTCTCAGAGCTATTCTCGCATTCTTTCTCCGGTGTAGCAAAAGTGCGGCATTTTTAGGCTGAAATTTCCACGTGCGAACCGAAATGTGTTTGTTTTGACTTTGACACCCATTTCAAGTCTCGTGGTCGCCGTTCCTGAGTTAGCCGATTGTGTCTAATGGTGTGCTATATATGTTCAGTATGCAGTAATGCAAGAGGAGATTTGCAAAGAACCTTGCATCACATCACATCTACCTAAGAATGTTTGACGTACAGTCCTGCGTTTATAGTTACGCTTTCTTGTTCTGGGGTCAGTTTTAGCTGCGCGGAACAGCACACTTTCCCGTCGAAGAAGTGATTTTAACTGCTAATATGACCGATATTACAATGATAGTACGTATGGGTAAAGTCAGAGTTAATTGAATGTTCCCATCCAGGTCTTTTCCTCTGATCCGTCTGTCAGTGTGGCGTATAACCACGTTATGAGACTCTCGTCTATATTTATCGGCAAAGTCCTGGTTGCAGCCGAAGCACTTTTTGGCTGAGTTTGGAAGGAGGCAGACTTCATATTAATAGGGTGACCAACCAGACTGCCACGTCTATTGTGGGGTCAAAAGGGAAGCTGAACTAAGTTGTTGAGGCTGTTGGGGTAAATATTTTGACATCGGGACCTGAAAAGGTTGTGCGAAGGAAGCTGGGACCTGTTGTTGTTGTGGAATTGCTGTTGACGAATACGAACAAAATTGTGGTTGTTGCGGTTGATAAAGTGTTAGCACTCACAGGTGGAAACCTTTGGTGCTGTTGCGTCGTCGTCCAAGCTGTATAAATGGGCTGTTATTGTAACGCCACGGCAGATGAATTTTCCTGTCCACAGTGCTGCCGTGGTAAATTGCAGTAACGTTGTTGTTGCTGATGTATTGAGGAAGGCGTCTCCTGCAATGCTGTGCTGTTGTCACTCTGACTGGACATCTCAGAAGAAATGGTTGGCACCCACGATTGCGACGTGTCGTTTCGTTTCTTCCTAAAAGCCTTTTGGATCTCGTTTGGCTTCATACCTTGCTCTTTAGGTGTCCTCCTGTTATTATATGCTGTTGCGAGGTTTACACCTAGTCCCTTTCTTCTCTGAAATTTTCTTTTGATTTCCTTGAGATATTCTTGTTGGCACTCGAGATCTTCGGCCACGGCAATCGTATCTTGGCAGATCCCGACAGCCTGGAAAACGCTGCACGGAAAATCAAGCTGGTGACCAGCTTTTACTGGCTTGACGATAAGAGGAGCTTTGCCATGCCTACTTTTCACTGTTCTCATTCTGGGATCATCAGAAGCCGCTGGCATGATCGCACCTGGCTCATTCAAAAGTGCCTCTGCATTCCTGAACATGTCTCTGAGTGTAGTCGCAGGCACTACTTGACTGGGTATGCCGAATTCTTCAGCAGCAACAGAGAGACGTCTAAAACCGTGAGTCTGAGTCTCGGGGGTCGACTGAGTAACCTTTGCTACTTGTGCGCTACTTTCCTTCTGTTTACCCTCATTGGTGACAACTGGACGGCACACCTCTGTGAAGAATCTCTTTAACAGTGCTTTCCTCTCGCCAGGTAACAGGCCTTGCCATTCGTCATAAGTTACGGCAAAGTTGGTGTAGGCTTTGTCCAACCTGTATGGACCGTCCCCGTACGAGGCTTTCGCAGCGTCTTTGTGCAGAGGTAAAACTCTCCCTTTGAGGCTTTGTAATGCCGTCGTCAGGTTGACATCTCTGTGACCAACACCATCTCCTAACTCATCAATCTCGACCTTGGACATGTAGTGCATCCACTCTATGGGGTTTTGGCCAAAACCTCTGTCAACGCATCCACAGTCTCGAACGTACTTGACCATCTTGTTTCTTAGCTGGATTTCCTTGTATTTGGCAAAGTACTTTGTGAATCTCAGTGGGCTGTTCTTTGTTGTCGACTTCTCCAGTTCATCTCATTTCTTTTAAAACGTTTCGCATTTCTGGTCGAATTCGTCTTCCCTTTAGCAGTCATACAAACAGCCATTTTCTTCCTTAGCTGCTCTCCAAAAATATCGGCCATAATGATTTTCTTTCCTGGACTGGGAAATTACATTCTGTTAGCTTCTTTTCGACATTTGCCTGGACGTGTTCCAGCCCCAGATGGTTAATGGTACCGCTTGTTTCTTGGAGTATTCAGGTAAAAAGGGCTTCACCTTCATCATATCCCAGTACATGCAAACCTTCAAGCTAACACTTCTCTCATTTAACAGATTGCCAGAAATACTTGAAGTCTTCAGTTGTCTTGTTTCTATGAATCAAGATAGGTCCAGGGAACCATGGGTGTTTGCCAGTGTCTTTGTTTCGCAAGCTTAAATTCTCATAAGCTGTATGAGTGAAATAATACTCAGTGATATTGAAAGTTGTGTCTATGAGTGACGGCGAGAAATGAAGCAAACTGCCCGATCTTGTGTAAAATCGCGACAAGTCCTTTATTGTTTGGTCAGTAAATGCAACGATTGAAGGCTGACGTCCATGACGAAAGATAACTTCCCTTAGAAAAGGCTGGTTATCATCAAGCACAAGGGAATCTGAGCCATGGTTTTGTTCAAGAAGGGCTACAATGACGTTGCTTATCCCGTCTTCGTCAGCTCGCAATACACTTCCATGATTGAATTTGTAGTTGGATGCTTGCTTAGGATTTCTAAGGCGCGTGGAGTCCGTCGTACTGCTTAAAATAGTCTCATCTGTCTGCCCAAGGGAATCTGCTAAAATGCGCGGAGCTTTGTTGGAGACCTGGACGGGTTCTTTGCATTCTTTCTTAACTGAATGCTCCGTAGTCCTAAAATCCCCCGGGCGTGTCCTGACTCTTGGCGTTTTCATGCTTTGCCGGAACGATGGGTACTGCATGCCCTGTGTCGAAGTAATAATGAGTGATCAGGGGCGTACCCAGGATTTTTCAAAGGGGGGGGGGTCACAGAGGCTACTCACCAGATCGTTATGTCGACCTCCACGCCGTGCATGTTTTACCTCATGTTACAGTTTTGGGATGAGCAGTGAGAGTATGGTGGGCAGGTCAAGATATTGTCATGGCGTTTTCACCACCTGAAGATTGTAGGTTGTTTGCTCAAAAGAAGGCTTACCAAGGTCACGGGCACCCCAAGAAACCCCCTCCCCCTGGCTACGCCCTTGGTGATCATCATCTTCGAGGATAGTTTGTATTCCTTGAGATTTACCAAATTCCCGTAAATTTAGAAAAAACACTTCACTTACCACTGTTAGTTACATCTACATCACGGTTCCTTTCTCAACTGTGTCATCTGTAAATCAGTATTACGCTCTTCAATCTGTTCAGTGCACGATAAAGATCGAACGCGTGAAGACCATCTACTGAGCGACAGGTCAATTTTTGCGCACAGCGGATTACCTGGCATGACCCCAGGCCACCAGCTTAATATCAAAGATCTTTGCTCTTGTAACCCAATCTTTCCTTAGTCGGGGAAGTATGCTTGACGAGTAAATATCAAATATCTTTTGCTCTCTCATGTTAAATTTTACTTAAGTTGTCGTTATTTTGCATAAAAATTTACTCATATGAACTTTACTCGTATTTTTTTTGGCATTTTTTTACTCGTATGTATTCGTATGTATTCGTATGTACCCGTATGTTAGTCGTATGTTCGTCGTATGCATTCGTATGTATCCGTATGTCCCGTATGTTACTTGTACGTTACTCGTATGTTACCCGTATGTACTCGTGGGGTGTTTTAGTCATGATCCGGAATAGATAATTGATTAGAAAATCCTTTGTATACCTCGATCCCCAAAGATTATGTGTTCACTTCTTTTCGTCCACATCTTGCTTGATGAGTTGTTCTCCGGTACCTTTTTCTACTTTTTCTACCTTTTCTTTCTTTGTTTAAAATGTTTTAATGTTTACTAAATGTTGAATTCTGCATTGTCCTCACCCCAG